GGGGGGGCAGGAGAGGTCACTCCTGTAGTACAAGCAGAGCCGAACTGGATTGACCCACTCGTGAGCTATCTATTTCACGGGACCCTCCCTGCAGATCGCAATACGGACCAAAGAGTAGAGCGCCAGTCAGCGAAGTACGTCATTATAGACGAACAGCTGTATCGGAGGTCTTTCACGCTCCCCTACTTGCGCTGCTTGCGACCCTTAGAGGCCGAGCTCATTTTCCGCGACACTCAAGAAGGCTTGTGTGGCGGACACTTGGGGGGCAGGGCTCTCACCCAGAAAGCGCTGTGACTGGGATACTATTGGCCCACAATGAAGGCAGACGCACTTGAGCTCGTCAAGAAGTGCGATAAGTGTTAAAGGCATGCCAACATCCACCACCGACATGCTACGGACCTCAAATATCTCACCAGCTCGTGGCCCTTCGCACAGTGGGGAATTGACATTCTTGGCCCTTTCCCACCAGTGACAGGGCAGAGGAGATTCCTGGTGGTAGCAGTGGATTACTTCACGAAGTAGGTGGAGGCGGAACCCCTAACAACAATCACAGCCCGCAACATACAAAATTTCTTTTAGAGGAATATAGTATGCCGCTTCGGGCTACTTCGAGTACTTATCTCCAACAACGTAAAAAGCAGTTCGAGAACATCAAGTTCCAGAATTGGTGTGCCGAGATGAGGATACAACATAACTTCACCTCGGTAGCACACCCTCAGGCAAACGGGCAAGCAAAGGTCACGAACAGAGCCATACTCCGTGGACTAAAGGCTCGCTTAGCCCGAGCTAAAGGACTATGGGTAGACGAGCTGCCCAGTGTGTTATGGGCCTACTGAACTACCGTTAAGACCGCCACGGGTGAGATCGAGGTGCCTACGCTACGCTTGGAAGCCTACAACGAGGAAACAAACGACGACGTGCTCCGTACCAACCTCGACCTGGTGAAAGAAGAACGGGACCTGACATACATTCGGACTGCAGCCTACCAGCAAAGGGTGGCTCGGTACTATAACGCCCGGGTCAAGAAACGACACTTCCGTGTCGGCGACTTGGTTCTTAGGAAAGTTATGGTACCTGAGCCCGGTGTCGGTAAGCTCGGACCAAACTGGTAAGGTCTATACCAAGTAAGACGGGTACTCGGGGAAGGTACGTACGAGCTCGAGACCTTGGAAGGAAAACAAGTACCTCGAGCGCGGAACATCGGCAACCTGAGATGATATTACCTATGATCGCCGAACTGGAGAGAGGACTGCTAGTCACTCTCAGAAGTCCAAGGACTAAAGTGTCGAGCTGATAAAAGACCTCGGCACTACGATAAGTCCCAGTTGCCTCCTCGGCATTGGCACATAAGACCCAGTCGCCTCTTCGGCATGGGCAAAACCAAAGGTAAGGAGAGTGGACTGCGAGTCACTCCCAGAGCCTAAGGGCTAAGGTACTGAGCTGACAAAAGACCTCGACACCACATAAGTCCCAGTTGCCTCCTCGGCATGGGCATACAAGTCACAGTCGCCTCCTCGGCATGGGTAGACAAGACCTAACCGCCTCTTCGGCATAGGCAACTCATCTCCTCATGCCTAAGGTATAGACAGCTTGGGTATAAACCCTACGATGTTTAGCCCACTTTCCCATATAATGAAAAAGTTGAACCCCAACAAAGGGACAACTAACATTACCAAGTAGCCCGCGCGCAGACAAGTCGGGTATATGCCCTACAAGTCCACGCACCTTGGCGTACATCATGCGAAGTTACCCCTACTGGTAGTTCAACTCGATAGCTCGACAGTTCGGGGTAACCTATACCTATTTGGTTAGTTCGCCAGTTAGGGAGTTATTTGCACTTGGAACATTTGACAAAAAGACAAGTGTTTCATTAATATGAGGAGTTCGTTACAAAAAAAAAAAAAAGATTTCTACTATAGACCGAGTTCGCAGGCCCGGGGTATACAATATGGAAGTCTATTCGTCTGGACGCTCTTCGCCCTTGCCCGAGGCTTCGGCAGGAAGGTTCACCCTCTCGTTAGCATCAGTCTCTTCGATGTCAATGAGCAGCTCGCTGTCTCTTTCTGCCTCGGAGTCCGGATCTTCAGCAGCTTCGACAACCATCTCACCTATGACCCTTGAGGTGGTGATGGCGCTTAGGTCGAGCTGCGAAAATTCACATCGGGTCAGCCAACTGGTAAGCTTAAAGCCCTTACGGTAGCCTTCCGTCCCCACCTCGATCAGCTCTCCGTGGAACTCTTCTGAGGTCTTGTATTCCTCAACGGCTTTGGCCTTGGCCTCCTCCACTGCTTGGAGGAGTATTTTAGTGCACTCCTTGACATGGGCCTCGAGGTTCTCCACCTCCCGCTTCAGCGCCGCTTTCTCCCTCGCAAGCTCCTTCTTCTCGGACATCAGCAGTGATGTCAGCTCCTTCTGATCCCGTGCATCGTTCTTCAACTGGTTAATTTCGTTACGGGCCATATTTAGCTCGGAGTGAGCTTCGTGAGATGAGGACTCAGCTGCAATAGCTTGCTTCAAGTGCAGTTCGGACTGGTATGTCAGAGCGTGCACAACAGAGTTCACCTGCCAAGAGAAGAATAGCAGTTAGTACAAGAAAAGTTTTCAAGTACAAAATTGAAGAAGTAAAGACAACTTACCACCATACAGTGAGTAGCCGCTCGAGCTCCGAGCTGAGCGACCGACAGCTCAGCCCAGTTGGCAACCTCCTCGGCGTATACCGCGCTCTTGCTCTTGAGGAGGCTGTACTTCGGAGTTAGGATGCTCTGAACTACCCCCTCGCTGCCCGAAGAAGTGACAGCCACAGGGGCAGGCTCCGAAGATGTTGCCTCCTCAGTCGCGTGGGGTGAGGAGACCCTTCCCAGTTCCTCCTCGACCAGATCGATCACTGGAGGTTGCGCAATGGAGGGCTGCTTGGGCTCAGGGACGACAGCCTGCGGAGACTCAACGCGAGGTCTTTTGACAGCTTGCTTCTTCTTCCCCTTCATCCTTCCAAGGAGCTTGTTCACAAGAAGCTTCATGGTTGATGTAACAAAAGCAAAACGTATGAAACAACATCAAAATAAAACAAAGGCAACACAAAAGTAACGACCTACCATGACTCAGACCAGCCTGCACGAGCTCGTCTTCAGTCACATAGTCCGCAAACTTGAGACCGAGCTCCACCCAAGACTGGAGCGCTTCCCTTGTCTTCAAGTCCAGCCTGACATTGGGATCTTGGATGGCCGCCCTCTAGTGGGTCGGGAAAGGGCACCCCTCGGTGTTGCGGACTAAAAAGTAGCCCATTTTCCAGGCCGGGACCCTGTTTGGGAGTTTGTGTAAGAGCTTGTAGCCCGGACGTGGGGACAAGTAGTAAGTCCGCCTGTGCTCGGGTAGAACAAAGGAGGAATTCTTCTTTATTGAAAGGATTGAAAAAAAAATGTCAAAGTCAAGGGGCAGGTTATAGTCATGGAAGAGCGAGATGGTTCCTACTATGTTGCGGATGGAGTTCGGGTGCAACTGATCTATGGTGATGTTGAAGAGTTTAATGACTTCGACGATCAGGGGGTGAAATGGAAGATGAAGACCTACCGCGAGCTGTTCCTCAAAGATCACGATCTCGTCGTGACCGTGCTCCCAGGGAAAGTTGCCTATCGGAAGACTGTAGACAAGATCACTCGGAAGCCTATACCGAGCTACTAAGGCTTGGAGCCTGTCCGCTGTCATCGTCGATGGGCCAAAGTAATCTGGCTGCCGACCTCGGTGTGAGGTGGACGCCAGACCACTAGAGGCCTCTCGTGCCTCCCGAGGTGATTCCACCTCAGGAGGACCGCAAACCGCTTCTTGACCCGAAGTAGCTTCTTCGGTAAGGTGATTTACGACCTAAGTCGAGGTACCCACCTCGGCCCCAGCGGATTCACCGCTCTCATCTAAAAGACTATCTAAACTAAAACTAGACATTGCGAAGAAAAGACAATCAGAAAAGGAGAGCTAGGGAAGACTCACCAAAAAAAGACCGAACTGAAAGAAGACACCGAACTGGAGAAACCGAGCTAAGAAGCTTGAACGTGACCTTAGAACAAAGACTTGCGAATTTGTGGCGAACCAAATGAGTCTCGGCCCCCTCTTTATAGCCGGTATGTCCAAAAATCAACGGTTGAGATCAAGGCAATCCAACGGTCCTAGGAAAATCGGCTGCACGACCCCCGAGGTTGAAATCAGTTTAACGCGTTTTTTGACGTCCGCGGAGTTTGTAGATCGCATGACGTCTGCGCGTGAAACAGACGCGACCTGAGTTATTCCTGGTTGAGCCGAATAACTGAACAGGTCCGACCAGTGGTTCGTCCGACAAGCCGCCCAAACCTCGGGCCAAATCCACTTGTCTCGTCATGAACTCCCCGCACCAGGTCGGGACCCCTGGCTCGGGGAGTGGGGGGCAATTGATGAAGGGTGATTTGGCCCGACCTAGTAAAGAGGGGACACGTGGACATGACCTGATCAAGAGATGACAACTCAGTTTGTCATGACCAGTCCGCAGCATATCAAGCTCAGGTACCCAACCATCCCGGGCTAAAGTGACCTCGGGACAAGGCCACCTCGAGACGAGATCACCTCAGTACCAGATCGCAACAAGAACACCTCGATGCCAAGGCACTTCGGCACTCAACCCAGTTCAGGACTTAAAGACATCAGCTCAGGGATACTGACATGCCACTACGTGTTGATCTCGAAAACCCCTCCAACGGATCCCCGTCCTCACGGGATCACACTGCGTAACAACTAGAATTATCTCCCCAACCGATTTGGGCGGAAGTGATGAACCTTATCGATTGGCAATGTTATCTTCCAACTAACACGGAAACGGGTCCTATCGTGACGAAGATCCCGGAACTGATTCGCGAAACCCGCGAGGACTCGACTATATAAAGGCTCCACCCCCGGAGGTTCAAGGTACGCGTGATTTCTATGCTCTCTAGCTCTCTGCATCCTTAAGCTATTTCATATCGCTACCAGTTTACTGACTTAAGCATCGGAGCGACCTCATCGGGCTAGCAACCCCGGGTTCTCTGATCCTTTTCTTGCAGATCAACTTAATCTGTCGTCCGCCTGGAAGCCAGATCACCTCCAGCGGGGAGTAGCGAGATCGCGCTACATCAATAGCCACGGTACAAGTCATATGGCATGCCCTCAAAGCCAAAATGAGTGTACTGGTTCATAGGTTAGGATTTTGCAATTTGCATATGATATATTATAAATCATACTGTCTATACAGTTTCAAAGAAAAAGGTCAAATATGTAACATATCTTACCCATTTATATAAAAGAAGAAATTGATGAATCGTCTAACACCTTGAATTTATATTTCCAATCCTACCCCTCCATGAATTTATATTTCCAATCCTATCTCGTCTTAAAATGCCTAAAGAGAATGGGACAAGTAGAGTTTGGGGGTTTCCAATCCTACCCCTCCCTGATTTCATATTTCCAATCCTATCCCCTTAAAATGCTTGAAGAGATTGGATTCATCCAACACCCTAATTTTATATTTCCAATCTAACCCCCTCGATTTCATATTTCCAATCCTATCCCCTCTTAAAATGCCTGAAGAGAATGGAAGTATGGGACAAGTAGAGTTTGGGGGTTTCCAATCCTACCCCTCCCTGATTTCATATTCCCAATCCTATCCCCTTAAAATGCTTGAAGAGATTGGATTAGTCCAACACCCTGATTTTATATTTGCAATCTAACCCCCTCCCTGAGTTCATATTTCCAATCCTATCCCCTCTTAAAATGCTTGAAGAGTATGGAAGTATGGGACAAGTAGAGTTTGGGGGTTTCCAATCCTACCCCCTATCTGATTTCATATTTCCAATATTATCCCCTCTTAAAATGCTTGAAGAGAATGTGACAAGAAGAGTTTCGGCAAACACCCTAGACTACAAATGTTTGGCTTATTTTTAGAATAGGTCCAGTCCAACCATATTAGTAAATTAAATAATTAATAAATTACTAATGCATTAATTAATAAATAAGTATATTACAATAAGTCAATAAATTATAATTAATATATTAATTAGCGAGGCAATAATTAATAAATTAGAACAATTAAAGCATTACTATTATTAATAATTGTTAACAATAATATTCATTTAAATTTACAAAAAAGATAATAGTAATTTCTAAAAATGAGTACAAATAATTAATTTATTAATAAATTACTATTAATAATTATCAATAATTTCTATAAATCTTAGTAATTGATTGTTGGTAAAAGATATTGAAATAATTACATTTCTAAAAATTATAATTATGATTTTCGATAATTATAAATTAGTGATTAATTTCATTCTAAAATGAAAGATAGTTTGGTGTAGTTTTTTGGAAATTATGGATAATTTATTGATCATTCAATAGATTACTAAAATTATTGAAAATTTATTGATTATTCAACCAATAAATAATTATTGAAAATTAATAGTTGATTATTCAGAAAATTAGCGTGATTCTCATTATTACATTTTCATAAAATTATTGATTAATTTTAATTGAAAATAACAGATAACTTGGTGCAATTTTGGAATTTTATGACATTTTTTAATTTTTGGAATATTATGGAAATTTATTGTAATTATTGAAAATTTATAATTATGTTATCATGATTTATAATTATTGAAATTTTTATTATTATCAATGTAATTATAATTATTACACTAAAATAATTGTTAGTGTAAATTAAATAATTCCTTTTTTCATAATCTCAAATAGTAATTCCCATTATCTAATAATTTTTGAAAAATTAATAATAGAAAAAACTGTAAATCTTGATTTAAAGTAATGTAAATTAATAGTAATAATTATTGTTACATAATTAACAATTTCCATGTATGAATTCCAATAATGTAATTATTAAATTACACACATTTCTATTATTTAAAAATAATAATTACTACTTATAAATTACAATAAAATCTGTTATTTGAAAATACTGTAATTACAGTAATTTTGAAATACAGAAATTCCAATAATAATTATTAGTGTAATAATTACAGTTTGTTTCAAAATAATTTTATTACACTAATAAAATAATTCAATTACAATAATTATTACAGAAATAATTACCTTTGAAATTTTAGTGTAAATTATTATTTTACGGAAATTTAAAACAATAATTATTATTGGAATTTTATTGCTGATAATAATTATCATTGGAATTTACAATTTCAGAAATTTATTAATGTAATTTTATTATTAGTGTAATAATAATTATTTACATTAATTATTATAGTAAAATTTGTTATTTTCAAATTACTGTAATTACAGTAATTTTGAAATATCTGTAATTCCAATAATAATTATTAGTGTAGTTAAATTAATTATTATTGGAATTTGGTGTAGTAATTAAATAGAGTAATCATTATAATAAATATTTTACTATAGTTACAATTTCTTAAAATTAATTTTATTACACTAACAATTAAATTGTGTTATTTTCCAGAAAATTTACTAGAAATCAATGAATATACAAAATTTTCAACCAATAATTTCTTTATAAATGTCATTCAAAATTAATTAAAAATTATAAAATTGAAAATTAAAGTCAACAATTATACCTCCAGGAAAGAGTTGGTGGAGTTTGGAAATTGGCAAACAAAATATCATAATTTTGGAGAAGAAAATAAAAAATATATTAACGTAATTTTGGAAAATTTCTTTAAGATGTAGTAAATAATTATTGAAAATTATTGGAATATTTTGGAAATTTGGAAAATTTTATTACATTTGATAGATTTTGAAAAATTATTTAAAAATTGTGTGATTTTCATTTTAAATTATTAAGGATAAACTAGTATTGGTAAAAGAAACTGGTAATTTGAACCAATAATTACACAAATTATTTCTGGTATTAATATAAATTAGTATAATATTGAAAATTTTTAAAAAATGAAATTATTAATTAACTTATATTGAAAAATAAAAGATAAATTAGTGTGATTTTGTAAATAATATATTTAAAAAGAAAATAAATTATTTAATACATTTAAAAAATCAATAAGTTAGTATATATATACTTTTGGAAATTTACCAGCAGCCAACATTCAATATATCATTTTGATCCTTTTTACCAGCAATTAGACATTGGGTTTTCCGTGCATCGCATGGGTCCCTTAGAGGCATATGACTATACCATTTAACCAAGGTTCAAAATTTTGATACGATACGCCCGCCCATATTGTATTGGTGGCTTCACAATACGCCTATTTAAAGGGGTTTCAGGAACCACTCTTTTTTAATAAAAAAAATATGGTTAAAAATATGCCCCAAAACCAAATTTTGAAAAAAACTAAAAAATATATAAACACGCATTATTTTAACCATACCATTCCTCAGTTATAATACTAGGAATTCCATCCAGAAATAGCAGTTTAAAATCTTCTAGAACCAGCAAATGATGAAAAACAAGGATTTATTTTGGGATACGTCATACGTGGAATAAAGCCATTCCAATTTGTTATCTTAAAGCATCTTTCTGCATTAGTTCATTACCTAAAATGGAGTCATCAACTGAACATTGATTTAGAGGGTGTGGTTTCATTTCTTCAAGGTAAAAAACCAACTCATTTTTCCATTGCCCACTCTGCAGTGCTGAAAACATTTTAAATAATGAATCTATATGCCTGCAAATGCAATGAAAAGAAAAGGTGAGATGATTTCATGTACATTGCTTCTAATTGCCCCATTAGTAACTTACCTGAATTACCACTCACCATTACTCATGTTCCAAAATTCGATTTCATGTTCAAGAACAGATAGAAATGCTTCTTCAGCTTTCCCAAGTATATAGTCTGGTGCTTTCTCCAAACGTTTATTAGCAATCATCTGAAGAGAATGGCAATACTGTCCAAAACTGTCACTGCCCCACCTTTGACAAGTCTCCATCAGCTCCGCTGGAGTTCTGGAGCCATGTTTTAGACAGAGAGAAAAGCTCTCTTGGTAAACTGCTTCAATGGCCCAGAAAGCTGTGATAGCTACAGTATAGCTGATCTCTGAGCTCATCAAGCTTTCAAGAAATCTGGTGATGCACGCTTCTTGTTAAACATTCCAGAATTATAATATTTATATTTATGGAATCTTGAGCTAACTAGGATGAAAACTTAAGTTTGAGTCTGAGAGTGGTCAGTTCATGAAGAAAAATGCTGAAGGTTATGTCTGTATCCAGCCCACACCTCCCAAGACCCCAGATAGCAGGGACCAAAATTGGGCTATGGCCCTTTGGTGCATGTCTTGTGTTATTTTATAGGAACAAGATTGTCAGAACAGTTCGGCAATGTAGGCAAACAAACATATTCATCAAAAAAAAATGTAGGTAAACAAACATCAAATCTGACTATTACCATTATGTTGATCATTGGTTTCCAAGATTTATATTCAAGCAAGGTTGAAGATCCGACTGTTTTTCTCTTGTCAAACCTTTATTTGTCATGTATTTAACATTTAAATTACAGCAATACAATGCCTTTTTTTTTCCTATTTTTGGATCAGTTACAACAATACAATGTTTAATCAAATATATTCTCCATCATCAGGTATTTCCAAATGTAAAAGAAATTCTGTTCAATATACATATACTTGACCAAAATTTGAACGTTTCAACATTCAGTACTGGTAACTAGAAGGTATTTCCATGACGCCAAGAGGACCCTAATGTATATCCAGTTATCCACCAATACAAAACAAATAGATGTGGACTCGGGATGCATGCAGGCATCCCAGAATTGGGATTTGGAGTTTGAGTATTGGGTCCATCTCAAACTCATTCACAATTCAGCCTTGAATTATTTGACTGGACTAAGTGACATACTTGGGGAGGGAATTATATAAACAACACTTGTACTTCATGTTGGAAAAGCAAATCAACCTTTTCCAATGATAGGTAAAAAATGAAGTCCTTCCTTTCTGAGGTGAATCAGCTTGTATTTATTTAGCTAAGCCACTCAGGCTTTCAAGAACCTGGATAAATATTATCTATTTACTATTGCAAAAGAAAAGGTCCTATAATACTTCATATTATATTGTCCAAGACAGCAGTCCAATGACGACATAGATTTCATCCCCAGCCTTGCAATTATTTGTTAAAATGTGACACAATTAAGTTCCAGGGTAGTCTTTGAAAGATTCTTGTGGTTTCTTTTATAAAACAATTATGCAGCAGAAATAAAAATTTTTTTAATCTTGAAAATCCAAGACCACTCCCATGGTGGAGTATATCTAATTCCATACCATTTTCTAATTTGATTTGCATTGTAGAATGTCCGGAAGATTGCGTAGATTCACATCTACAGCCTCAAAGTGTTTGGCCTCTAATTCAGTCCACATGAAGCAGCAACAGATCAAAGCTCTTTTTACAGAAAGGATGGCGATCCAAGACAGAAAAGGGTTGGGGCAAACCAGGAGTTATAATAACAATCCTATCAGTGATTAGGGTTTTAGAGAGCTAGGAGAATCTTAGATAAAAACCCTAGGCCACCCCATGCATTGTTTAAATAGATTTAAGCTCCTAATTGCATTAGGAGTACTTATCTCATAAGGATTTTCATAATTGCAATTAGGTCCCTCCACTAAGAACCCTCTTAGTGATTACACCCTTCCTTCATACTTTGTTCACGTTTTGCCCCTTAATGTGTGTAGGTGTGACCTCTTAGGTTCAACACTATTAGATGGTGGCAAGTGATGTTAAACTCTCCTTAGCATCCTAGATGAAACTCCTTCTAGCTTATTAAATTAAAACTCTTTTAATTCACTCTTGAATGTGAATAATGGGCAAGAGTTTCACAAGTCATGAGTGACACTAGTATGTCATGACTACTCTAATAGCTTGAATTTAGTAGATTGAACTTTTCCATCTATAGTTACCATGTAGTAAAATCCTTCTATCATATAATGTCCCCAAAGAGTAGAGGGTCATGATGATTATGTCAAACTCTATTGGCTCAATCATATGTCCCGCTGGTTGATGATGAATATGGTGACATTTGGAACTCTTCCATAAATCATGTTGCCTTGGCCAAAGACTTCTGAGTCACACCAAATCTAGTTCCATAGGACATTCTCTCTCCACATGGAGAATGATAGATCCCATATTGTGTATTCACATACCTCCAATCTCCATGTATAAGTCACCATAGCCGACATGTGCATGCCTTATGCCCCTAACTAGAGTATAAGTAAGGGGTGGATTCGATTCGAGCCGAGCTGAGCCGAATAGTATGAGGCTTGAGCTCAACTTGCCAAGGTTGTATAAGGCTCGAGCTCGAGATCGGTTCAAGCTAGAATATTGAGCTCGAGCTTGGCTTGGCTCAAGCTCGATTTGTGGAAAAATATTTTATAAAAATAAAAAATTATATATAAAAATATTTTTTATTTGATATTTAAAAAATTAAGAATTATAATATTTTTATTATATATATTATTTTCTATAATTTTATTATATATATATAAATAAATAATATATATATATTTGAGCTCGACACACGAGCTGATCTCTATTAGGCTTGAGCTTGGCTCGTTTATTAATCGAGCCTATAAATTGGGCTTGAGCTCGGTTGAAACTGAGCCGAGACTAGCCTTTCACGAGCCGAGCTCGAGTAGATCGTGAAAAGCTCGGCTCGTTGCCACCCCTATAAGTGCTTACACTCTTCTGAACAATTTTTCAAATACCAGAGTTCATGTACGAATTAGTGAATTAAGCAGGATGTTTTTGTGCGAAATAACAAACAACGGCATAAATTTCATCGTACAAAATAAATACTCATACAATGGAAACTCATGCACAACGTATTCATGATGCCTCATGCCTAAAGGATTATCTACACAATTATGACGATAGAATTAGTTAAAGCCAATCTTCCTTTGTAATCAAAGCCCAAAGATCTATGAACTAATCATGCTTGACTAGCTAAGCATATGAATGACCCAATATCTTCTTGATCTCTCCCTGATCGTAATTTCTAACCTGAGTACTCTGTCCAATATGAGAGTATTTTTTTAGTAAAACATAGATTTTCCTGTTGGGTCAAGTTTAATGAACTTGTTCTCTAACAAGCACTCACATATTTGCTTTTATGTCACCACACAAGTGACTTGAGATTCATCACCACATTGAGGCAAGTATAACATGTGTCAGTCTATCCGGATCATCAAAGCCCTCTTGATGATCCTCTGGCCATGAACTATTTAAGTATTTTGTACCAAGATAAGCATATCTCAAATTCTTAACACACGTAAGAATAAACTATCTTGACATAAATGCTTTGGACTATTCATGTAAATTGCAATGTCAAAAGAAAACATGAATGACAAAATGCCCATTTATTACATTACAAAAATTGCCCTTCTATAGTGTCACTATTGGTTTCAGGGCATCTGGCTAACAGTCCTTACATGCTTAAACATAGTTATACCATTGAACTTATAAAGCATGCCCAAATGAAACTGGACAAAGTCTACCCTAGGACTTGACATAGGCCATCACCGTTTCAGTCAAACTCAGTACCACTTGACTCAAAGTGATTCTGTGCAATACTCTGTACCCCTTTAAAATGCATTAGACTCAAAGCACTCCACTGTCCACTCATCTCTTTAGATAAAATATCTAAAAGGTTATACTAATTTTTCAATTATTTCTTGTAGCATTTTGGCAAGCTTCCAACTCCTCATATAATAGACATATATACAAATGTTTTGATAGTGAACGAACAAACAAACAAACAAACAAACAAATAAGAGTGGAGTGAAAAAGAAAATATATCATAATACACTCATGTAAACTGGTACCTGCAGTAATCTTGGTTTGCTTTTTGAGGGGAAGTGCCAGAAAGCAGGACTCCCCATTTCAAGGCCTCCTTCTTGAACCAAGAAATCTCATCATTAAGAGAAGCTAAACCACTTAATATCACTTCCATATCAGAACCATCTTCTGATTCCCTCCAAGCCTTCAAAAGAACACTTGCTACAAAAGGTACAAATTCTCTAACAAATATGTAATCCTGTTCCTGTGCATTATATTCCAAGAAACATTACTATTCCATGTAAGCTTCAAAAGAGAAAATTAGGAAAAGACAGAAAAAATAAAAGAGAAAGGGGGGAAAGGACTAGAATATGATAAGAAAAACATGTCAATAATTGCATCTTTTGATTTTTTTTTTATCATTAACAGAAAATTGTATCTTTTGATTTCCCATCATGAACTTGAATCAAATTGTATATTTTCCGAGCATGTATGATGATGGTTGTGCAAACTAGATCATATAGTGGATTATATTGGTAAGACACAACATAAGAATTAAAAAAAGGTGTATTTACACCATATGAGAATTCCAGCTATTAACTTTCTTCTCTCGTTAGGTAGAAGTGAGAATGGATCTAACTACACCTTCATTTGAAAGAGAATGCAGTACAATTCCCATGATAAATCAAGTCATGAATCACATTATTCAACTCATTGGTCAGGAAAAGAAAAATACTTCAGAAGAACCATTTAATAAATCATTCAAGCCTGGGTCCCTCCGCTCAATCCTTATGTATCTTTTTTAGTTTTTGGTGCGCAATGGAGCCTTTTTGAATTGGTTGATTGTCAATGGAATTTATCAAAATAATACAACAGTTTAGAAACGAACGGCCAGCGAAGCAGAAACTGACCTGTTACCATCTCTGCTGTAAAATACTGATTGCTTAGGTGCTAATCTTCTCGGTTACACTAAATTATCAAAAAAAAAAAATCTTCTCGATTACACTCAACAAAGGTTTACCAACTATAAGGAACCGGCAACACGAATCCTGTTTCGCCATACCACCCTATCGAAGATCAATGCATTAGCCGTTAAACATCAAATTAATTTATGGTTCAAAAGTATACATGATAACAAACGAAAAACCTGGTTGTCCAGAACTAATTTCGTTATTTTGCATCTTTATTCTTTAGCTTACTTTTCTTTCTTTTCTTTTTTTTTTGCTTACTTCCTTTTCTTATATAATAAATAGTGTACATTAGTTAGATTATAATTTATCACCAACAAGAATTGATTTATGATTGTTGTCTTTACAATATCATTTTAAAGAAGATCATTTTAAAGAAGCGACTAAGGCCGATTAAAATTTGATTTCTGGATTTTATCCTCGTAATGCTGGTAAATAGAAGTCTATGGGAATGTTAAATTATAAGTTCAGAGAGAATGAAGCAACAAAGCAGAGCAAGAAAAATAGAAAAACATCTCTGATTCACCATTTCTTAGTGACTATAGATGAGAATTCGATGAGATATGAGAGGCAAGAGGGTAAAAGTTACCAGCCATCGCTTGAACGAGGAAAGATCAACCGTTCCGTCTCTGGTACTGAGGATGAAAGGGTGTCTGGTTGCTCTAGAATAAATTGTATGATGCTTATTCAACCACGCCATGATCATCCCGCCACCACTTGCTCCTTCAGCGGCGTTGTTTTTTCCCTCCATTTCTCTGCTACTCCGGTGACCTAAGCAGCTAAGCTCCCACTGACCACTGTTTAGTAAATAGTATACCTGTTCATGTGTCGGGTAGTCCGTCGGGCTTGCACGGGTTCGGACTCATGCGGTAAGGATTAGACCCGAAACAATCGGGCCGGGGGTTCGGACTCTTAGATATGCTTGACCCGATCTCTACATATATATATTGATGGGTTGACTATAAGTTCTTTTAAGGCACCATACCTTCGAATGTCAAAGTAGGGGTAGGGCCGAGTTTGGAATCAATTCATTTCGTGAGAGGTGTTTTTATGAGAAAACAGTGTTATATAGGTGTTTTTCAATGTTATTCTTCTAGGAAAAAGTTTTTTGGGAGAATGACTGATAAGTCCAGGTCAAAACCATAAAGGAGTTCTTTGAAGAATCCAGTCTAACAAGAAAATGCAACTAACGATTAGCTCTCATTTTTCAGAGAAGAAAACGATACTACAGTCTACAGAGAACATAGCTATGGGCTGTGGATGTGAGAGAAAACGACGGCGAGAGAAGATTGAAGAGAGACTGTGAATGTGAGATAAAACGACGGCGAGAGAAGACTGAAGAGAGATCGGAGACAGACGGACGGAATCGACTGGAGACAGCGAGAGAAGATGCAGTCAGTGAGCGGTGGCAGCACTGCGACAGGAATAGAAGCCCCTTTGCTGTTTGCGTTTGCCTTTCGAATGGAGAAACAAGAAACTGGGAGGCCGAAAGGCTCATGAGTCATGAGTAGACCTGTTCATGGGCCGGGTAGCCCGATGGCCCGGCCCGCACCCCGGTTGGGCTTGATCATGTAATTAGGCCCGCGGGCCTGACCTCGGGCCTAACACAGTAAGCCCGACTGTGTTTCGAGCCGGGCTCGGGATTTGTCAAAAAAGCCCGGCCCAGCCCGATTCAGCATTATATATTTTATAAAATATATAATATGTATTTTATATTTATAAAATATATAAATAATATAATATTTATTAAAATATATATTTATTATTTAATATATACATTTTTTATTCTTTTCTTTATAATCTCTCTCTCTATATATATATATATTCAGCCGCTAACAGTATGGGCTAAATTTCGGGCTTGGGCCCAGGCCCGGGCTTCGGACTTTTTATGAGGGCTGGGCTCGGGCCCAAGTTGTAGGCCCGATGGTCGGGCCGGGCTCGGGCTCGGGCTCGGGCTCGGGCTCGGGCTCGGGCTCGGGCTCGGGCTCGGGCTCGGGCTCGGGCTCGGGCTCGGGCTCGGGCTCGGGCTCGGGCTCGGGCTCAGGCCTTAGAAAATTCTGTTAATACAAAGTAAAAGCCCGGCCCGGCCTATGAACAGGTCTAGTCATGAGACAATGAGACATGAGTCATTTTTCGGCAAGGTTTTGAATGAAACCCTGCCGAAATGACCATTTTGAACAAATCTAATTTTAATATTACATGATATATAATTATTAATTATTATATAATATATATTATATATGCTCGAATCGGGTCCAAATCGGTTTGGAACATGCTTGACTCGATTCTGACTCGATAATAATCAGGATAATTTATTAGAAACCGGAATCGATCCATCGGGACATGTTCTAAAACTATAATCAGTCCAATTGATTCGGGTCCATCGGATTGGGCCCGACCCATTGACAACCCTATATCTATCAATGGATTTGGATCTACTGCCCACGAAACATTGGCCACATATTGTGCACAAGACAGCAAACCGACAGTGCATGGTGGGAACATCTCTCCTTGAATGATAACAAATTAACAATTTGTATTAGAGATGTTCCTCATGCATGGCTATAGAGTGCTGTATTGCAGCATTTTGTGGTCAGTTGATTTGACTCTTGACAGGAGTATCTAGTATTTCATAGATTTATAAAAGACTTCTATAATTTGTAATTAACTTACTCAATCGACTTTTCATTAGTTCACAGTGGATAATAATAGTTTTGACCCTAAATGTCCATATGAATAAAAATACCATTTTTGCAGCACACAAGCAATTACTAGGAATGGCAATGGAAATCATATTCTCCATCCCCATCCCAATTCTAAAATTAACCCATCCCCATCTGAGGATGTATTCCCATTAAGTAATTGATTTATTTGCTTTTCATATATAAAAGCAGCATGTGCACCACACGAGTCACTGTTAGTAAAAACCAGAAATATGATTTGGTTATTGTCATAGGGTTGTGTTTGTAGACTTTATTTGGGAAGAGTGGGGATACACATGTTTGATATAAAACCCCATATACAGTTCATATTTGTATTTTCTAAAAGTTGTATTTGCACTCTTCTCAAATGGAGAGCCTAAAATGAAAGGATTCAGTTAGGATAAAGAAAAAAAAAAAAAAAAGAAATAACATGATAATGGAAAAAAAAACTTATAAAGCCAATCAATCAATCAACATCATAAAAGTGACAACCAATGAAATTAGATTTATTCCTAACAAAATTGATGCTTACACCCACCTCATAGCCCTCGCATGAGTGCATTTGGAACCCATAAATAAAAGGGTAAAATGTTGAAACATTCCTTGAAGTTTTTGACCATTGCTGCCCCCCCTCTTGGAAATTTGGTAATTGCAATCATCTCTATTGAAATTTCTAACATAGTTGTAAGTAGACCCCCTTTGTTTTAATCTTATAACAAGAGATATGAAAATGTCCAAAATACCCATGGAGTTACTTTTGACCAAAATGTTCATATTCCAATTTTTCTCTTCATATCAATTGCTACCCCAAATCCTTTCAATATCTTTTCTGAA